TTCATATTCTCAGGTTTCATAATGAATGTGTGTGTGTTTAGTTCACTTGTTTCCCAGAAAGCGGGTGGCTAAGCCTTCCCAGCACACCCTGCTTCAATCTACAAGGAAACTATCTTGACCAAACAATGTCCCCACCCAATGACAAGTTCCAGGGAGCCCATCGGACAGATGCCACAGGGTGGAATCATTCCTATTCCATGTCACTGAGTAGAGAAAGGAGGGTCAGCTTTTCTCATAAAGACACCCAATTAAAAACACGAAAGTGGGTCATTACTTTGGCATCTATCTCAATGTGCAATATTTTTTAAATTATTTAAATTTTATTCTTAAAATGTGTTTGTGCCACTGAAGTGGCAGGAATAAAAGCAATCTTAAAAAAAATTTATATAACTTTTAACAATACAAGGTGGGATGTCTGTAAAAGTAGGTAGTTGGACCTTAAGCTGCCGGTCTTACTACAATAGATTCCCAGCTGAACATTTCACCATAGGATTCTTCTGCTTCCATCAGGGGTGGGGAGCGAATTCTCGCAGAGCACCCACACTACACATCAGCTTTTTCAGAAATGCTGCCTTGTTTATGTTTATTTATTTATTCATTTCCTGGCATTTCCCAAAAAGACATGAGGCCACTTATAAAAACACATCCAGCACAATAACAGAGGAAAATAGACAACAAAATCAGACCAAAGGGCAAATTAGAGCAGAAAACAAGCGTAGGGAGGAGAAGCTGGTGGAGACACACAGAGAATGCCACGCTGCAGACAGTTAATCGTGGTGAGATGCACATCTTGCCTTGCGTGACCTGGAGCCCAAAGCAGAGAGTGGGAAATGGCTGTCTTGAGAAGTCACCGCCATCGCTCCAGAGAGGCATGGATTTTCCACATGTGCAATCAAAAGAATCCTCCTCCCATGGCTCCTTCCGGGAGAGTCCTGGGAGAATGCTGAGCACCAACAAATGCCACTGCAAGTTTCCCGCCTCTGTTTTTATGTATCCTCCAGCATGAGCAGAGGACAACTGTGCACACCAAGAAAGGATGGCCAAGCCTGACCAGGGAAGGTGATTCTCCAAACAGCCCAGGCATTGAGATCCAAATGCACGGCTCATGGACTGGCTTGACACAGGAGCAGGACCCAAAATATCTATCTTTGTATTTTCACAATCACGTTAAATTCATTTCCTCTTTTGAGAAATATCATCAAACCATCCTCCCCTTTTTTGAGATTTCAAAATAAACAATGTACATTAAAAAAAATTAAAGAACCTGCCATGTAAAATATCCTTTCTGACTGCAAGGACTCCTCTGGTGATTCTGACAATGAGAACTGAGTGGGATCTAGAAGGGTGGGATGGTGTTTTCCATCAACTTGCATGTGCCGGAGAATTATGGCTTTGGAGTTCAAGTCTGATAAGCTTGTGATGTGTTATTATCAACAAGTACAGAAAAACTCAGAGGCTACAGTCAGCTTACCTGAGGAAAGTCAGGCTGCTAGTACCCAGGGAGGCCAAGTCACCTTATGAAGAGATTCAGTGACTTTCCCAGGACACACAGCCAGGGAGTGGCAGGCTGGCCTTGAACTCCAGGCCCCGTAACCATACCCACAAGGCTGCATCTAACCCCCACCTTATGAGACCCCCTCGCAGACATGGCTGCTCCCTCTTGCTGTTTTGCTCCTGCCCTTTCCACTCCTCATAGTCCCACCACACTGAGAGAGGACAATGATGTCCTCACTAAATAGTGGACTTGGTGACTCTAAATGTTGCTGGGTTGGCGGGTCCTCCTGGGAAACTGCTGTGAGCTGCAGCACTCGGTGGAAGGGTGCCCACCCCCTGCAGCCCCGGGAGCTTGTGGACAGGTCCAGGGCCCTTGGACTCCACTAAAGCACAGGAGTTCTGGGTCTTGAAGGTCAGAACTGACTTGGCCCACTGAGCATGGGCAGCCACAGCCCTGTGGACACTACACACCGGTGTGCGTTACATGAACACTCCTGAACTTGAGCCACCCTGACAGCACAGCCTCCCCCAGCCCCCGCCCAGCATCCAGATGTCAAGATCTGCAAGGAGCCAGCCGAGTGGTGGTGGTAAGGGCCCCCAGAACTTCCTTGTGTCACACCCTCACCAAAGGGGGACCAAGAGCCACACAGTGGCTTAGGCCTGGACTCCCATCACGTGGCTCTATTTAGGTCACATGTGTGCCTAATTCTGGGGTGGCTGCCTCACACGCCCCCTGCTCCACACCACCCCGCCTCGCAGGAAACCGAACGTGCCAGGCCTTGAACACCTCTGCTCCTTCTGCAGGGGCCGCTTCCTGCACAGCTCTTCCCATGGCTTAACCTTCACTAGCGCTCAGGGTTTGTCCTTGTGTCTTTCACTCAGAACAGTTTTACAGGTTACTCCCCCGTGGGCCAGACACTGGAACCCAAAGGGGCACGCGGGGCCTGTCACCCACCCTAAGGAGCTCAGTTCTAGAGAGGCAGACCTGCCAGCCATGAGGACCCAGGGATGGCCTCGGGCACTGTGAGCAAAGAGGAGGTGTCCACGCTGGTCCTGAGCATTAGAAAGGGGGACTTGCAGGCTGGGGCTGGGGCTCAGTGGTAGAGCACTTGCCTCGCATGTGTGAGGCACTGGTTCGATCCTCAGCACCACATTAAAATAAACACATAAAAAGACATCGTGTCCACTTACAACTGAAAAAAAAAAAAAAAACACCAGAAAGAAAAGAAAAGGGGACTTTCCTCATTGAGAAGGTGGGGGGACTGCAGGCGGAGAGTAAGCAGGGAGGGGCAGGCCGTGCAGCAGGGCAGCTGCCTTCCAGAAGCCACCGGTGTCTGAGGAGTCCCTGAAGATGAGGAGCAGATTTGACAAGAGGGCCGTCGGGGCCGGCTGTCATCACCTCTCACAAGTTTTGACTTTCATCTCAGTGTTTTGTGATTTCCATCTCAGCCATGTCTTCCTGCAGCTTCTGGTTCTCCTTCCTGGACGGACTCTGAAGCGTCTCTAATCTGGCCGGCATCACTCTGAGCAGGGCACACCTGCCCCGGGGAGCCTGCAGGGGTGGGCTAGGCTGCTCTGCCTGCCGTTCCCTCTGCACACCTGAACCTTACAAGTGGCCTGTCCCCACAGAGGCAGGGCAGCAGTGTGGGCCCCCCAGGTCCCATAACTCTGTGGGACCTCACTCACCCAGGGAGGGACTTGCAGTCCTACGCTGCATGCTACGGGCTCACGCTGGCAGAAGCATTTTCCCACACAGAAAGCAGCTCCTTGACTGGCCACATCAGAGGCCCCCAGGCCCTGGGGGGGGGGGGGTGGAGCTAGGGGACGCAGATTCTATCTGGGTAGGAGGCGTGTTTCATGTGGGGGCTTTCAGGCCTCCTTTCCTCCATTCTGGCCTCCCGCTTCCTTCCTGAGAGGAGTCGGGTTTGGGAGCCTGGACCTGTGCTGGCACAGCGAGCCCGGCAGGGCAGACCAGGCTGTGTCCAGCCCCAAGTCCCCCAACAGGAAGGGCTCAAAATGTGTGCTGAGTGGAAACTAAGTGGACAATAAGAAATACCCCAAAGGGGGACACGGAGTTCTCCCCTGAGTAAGGTGGGGGTTGGGAGAGAGAATAGCTAAAATGCAGAAGGGCTCCTATGTTCAGGAGCCCAAAAAGAGGGGGACCTCGGGGCCATGGTTGGCAGGTGTCTAGACTGTTGAGCACTTGGCCACTCTGCACTAAAACAGGATGAGTGCGAATATTTTCTTACTTTTTATTTTATTCATAATTCTAGATTCACAGTTCTAGTTCAGCTTTAGATTCTAGTTTGGAATTCTAGATTTGTAGAAAAACTGCAAAGATAGAGAGAATCACCCAGGTTCCCGTCTGTTTGCATCGTACCTAGCCATGGTCCATTTATTTGCCAGAACTCAGGCACTGATGTCGGTACAATGGTATTAATGAAAGCCTAGGCTAGGTTTACATCTTATATATCTTTCACTGATCACTTTTGTCTTTGGGATTCAACTCAGGATGAAGTTCTGGATTTAGATGTGACACCTCTTCAGTCTCTTCTGAGCTGTGATAATTTTCATCTTTTTCCCTTTTTTATGATCTTGACACTTTTGAAGGTCAGATATGCTGCACACTGTCCCTCAGTTTGGATTTATCTGAGGTTTTCTCATGATTAAAACTGGGTTACAGTCTTGGGGGAAGAATCGCAAGGTAGAAAAAGTGACTCAGCCCCGGGGCTGTGACTTGGTCGCTTGGCCCAGCAGGTGTCTGGAGGGTTCTCCTCTGCACAGCCATGTTCTTTCCCTCCACACTGAAGGTCGGAGGAGTGAAGCTCCACCAATGAGAGTGGCCACGGCACCTGGGGAATGCTCTGTCACTACGCACCCCCATGGTCACAGTCCTTGATTCCTCAGCAGGGTGGAACAAGGAGGGTGAAATCAGGGACCCGTGACAAAGTGGACAGAAAAGTCGTCAACACCCTAGGATCGAAAAAGGTCTCTCAAAATCTGCTAGCAACTGCCCTTTCCTTTCCACAGTTGGCCTGTCCTGGCAAAATAGATGTCTTAGCCAAAAGAACCGTCATTAAATCTATTCAGAATACAGAAAAAAATGGAACAACCCCATTCAAAAACAAAACGACAGCAGCCGTTGACCCTGAGCCAGAGGTTCCCACATTCCTGCCAACCTCGCTCACCTGGGCTCAGCCCTGCCGCTGGCCTGGGGTCCCATTCCACCTTGGTCTCCAGCCACGCCCCGTGACACACTGGGGGCCTTTTCCAGCTTGGAGCCCGAGACACAGACTCTACTCTGGGTGGAAGAGCTTTTATATACAACAACAGGAATTCCTCCCAAAGAGGAGCAGGTGAAGAGCGGGGCCACCACTTCCTAGCCACAGTGCAGACCCTCTTTCTACACCAAAGCGGCGTCCTCCTGCCCACCCAACTTTAGGGTCCCAGAGCATGGCTGGCACAGGGTAGAGAGACGAGATGGCCAAAAACCGGCAGAGACCTACCTCGTGGCTTCAGTGGCTTCTCACCATAGCTCTTCGGAGCCAGGACCCCTACTGTGGAGTGGCCTTCTGCCTGTGACCAGCAGCCCACCAAGCAGTTGTGAAGGAAAAGCCCGTCCTCAGGTGGAGTCCCCACATCTCCGTCCTGTGCATAGCTCGTGGCTTCCTGCTGGCAGCAGACGGGGGCGTCACCCCCCACTCTGTGATCCTTCAGCTGCCTTCACAGAGTGAGCTCAGCAGGAGCCCTGACCCTGCAGACCCCAACCCTGCAGCTGGGTACTGCAAAAGCTTCTGCGGGCTCACAGAAAAGGGTCTTGAGGCCCCTCTGTCCCAGGAAAGCCCGCTAGGAAGGTCCGCGAGCCCTGGCCTTTCCCCAGCCCGGAGCCACGTTGGTCAAAAGGCCCCTCTGCCACCCCAGTGTTTTCTCAGGGGGTTTTGGTTTAACGGCATGGCTGATGCTTCCCTCACCGGGTCTGGCAGGGTGGGCGAATCGCTAGCAAACTCTACAAGGTGGTTTGCTCTGCCTTACACAAGAGCTTGGCCTCTGCATGTGCCACCTGTATGAGCCAGGGCAGCTGTTCTCTAGGCTGCATGGGTTCCGTTTTGCCTTTTAAATGATGCTAATAATAGCCAAGTCACAGGACGCTCTGAGCCCTGCATGGTAGAATGAGTACCCACGGTGGGCATGGAACTGGTGCTCGGCGAAAGTGAATTCCGCATTTTACAGCACGGTAGCCTGTAGGTGATTCTGATCTCAGAGCTTCTTCAGCTGCACCACTTCCCTTGGCTATGACAACTCAGAGGGGCAGAGACAGCAGGGCGATGGGGACAGCGTCCCAACCTCAAGTCTAAGACCCTTGAGGGCATGTGGGTCAGTCAGGGCCATGTCTACACCACAGTCCAGAACCTCAGCTTCCTCGTGGACTTCCTTTCCTCACAATTTAGGACTAAGAGAACAATTCACTGTGAGTTCTTCTAGGGAAGACCTTTTGGTAGGTGTCAGCAGCAGCATTAAGCTCTTGAGTCTTAAGGCACTGTGAAAACAATCTGCTTCGTTAGTTTTGTGAGAATAAATGGATTGATGTATAAAAAGTCCCTATTACAAAGGGCTCAGAACAGTGTCCAGAATACCACGCATGTTCAGTGCATGATAGCTATTGTTAATTTATTATTATATTAACCTCCTGATGCTTAACAGTTGGATCCAAGCATCAAACACAAATTAAAAGAGCTTCAAAGCCTTAAATGATTTAAAAAGTAACTGATTGAAGAGCCGGGCACAGTGGTGCACACCTGTAATTCCAGCAACATGGGAGGCTAAGGCAAAGGGATCTCAAGTTCAAAGCCAACCTCAGCAATTTAATAAGGCCCTAAACAACTTAGTGAGACCCTGTCTCAAAAAATAAAAAGGACTGGGGATGTGGCTCAGCGGTAAAGCCTCCTTGGGTTCTATCCTCAGTACCAAAACAAACAAACAGCTACTGATTGGAGTGAGATTACTCAATCTTATTATTTCAATTCAATTCACGCAGCAAACTTTTCTGAACATCTCTGGACTCTGGTAAGCTCACACGGGGGGGGGGGGGGGGGGGGGGAGGTCAGCTATAAATAGACATGGTCCCCTCTCAGGGCCCCAGCCTAAGGGGCTTGGGAATGGCTTCATGTAAACAGACAATCACAATAGGTATGGCAAGTGGGGCTAGAGAAGCCCCATCAAGGCCCCTTATCAGAACAAAGGCGGGAGCCACAACCCCATCGAGATCACTGGGAGAGTCCCCCAGGAGGCAGCTCTGACTGGTGACAAAGAATCAGGCAAACTGCTCCTCAGAGGCAGATCCCTGGGCTGAGAATTTTACTAAACAGAGATCCCGTGTTGCTGCTGGAACTGCCTCTCATGTTTTATTGGTGGGGCCTGACTATACAATTTTCAGACAGCTTTATATGCTTGAACCCTAGTATTGAAGAATATAATGGGGAGCAAGAAATCCACTCCCTGAGGAGGAAGCCCATTTTCCTGACGCGGCCCAATGTTCCAGGTGGCAGTGGAAAGGTGAGAGGGAATTTGCATGAAGGAGGCTTGGGTCTGCTGGCTGTGGGGTTCCTGGGGAAAGTCACCGCTCTGCCCACCCCTAGTAGACAGAAGGTGGTGGACATGTGGGTGTGCACACACACACATACACACACAGACACACACGAGTCCAAGCAGCCAATCAGAAAAGAACAAGGAAATGACATTGGTCTCGGGTTCCAGGTATCTGAACAGAAGTGAAAGTCAACTTCAGCCATTTTCACCCCCATGGAGTCGCAGAGTCCATGAGAAGGCAGTGGGTGGGTGGGGTGGACAGGACTTCAGGGAGTGAGACACAGTGAGATGTGCTAGGAGGTGGTGTCCTTGGCTAGACCCTTTTCTTAGAGAATTTCAGAGAGGTCCTCTCAGGCCTGGATTGGACAGACCCCAATTCTGAAGTTCCAGTTTCAAATTCAGCCGCACTGACTCCCCCATTTATTTTTGCACATTTATGGGGTCTTATGCAAAATTCGGACTTCTCCTTCCATGAGTCTGCACCAGCCTCCTGATACCAAGTCATCTAGGATCAAAATCAAAAGCTGTGGGCAATAGAATATTTGAGTGGAAGAATCATCAAAACAATTCAGTCCAAGATTTACCTCTGGAATGGTGGAGTGAGAAGGTGGGCAACTTCCTTTTGATGAAAACAAATGTAAAATTAGATAAAATCGTCAAAAAAAATTTGGAGCACTGGAAAATGACCCAGGGCAGACAATGAATCTAGAAGTCTAATCTTTAGGAACTGCAATGGTATCAGAAGTATGCAGTCTTCCTGCCGGAGGTTCCAGCACTTATCTTGGGTAGGAAAACCACAGGTTTACTAGTGGGAGAGGGGGACTTGGTTTGAAGTCTGTCAGTGAACACCAGCAGCTGTACTAGCTGTAGGTAACAGATTTGATCTGAGATGGGGAGATGAAAACCTGCCGTTTTGAGGGTTAAGGCTTATGCAATCAGTTCTACACAGGATGTGAAAAACTCCAGCCTTCCTGGCCTACATTATAGCCTTGATTCAGGTTGGACAGAAGGTCAGCCAGAATTGGAATGGAGAGATCCTGAAGTAAGAGGGCTTTCAAGAAAGGGCTGAGATAATAAACTTCCTGTGCATTCCTAACTGACTGCCTTAACATGCAAGAGTAAGGCAGTGGGTGGGGGGAGGCCAGTAGAAAGTGAAAGCCGAGTGGGGTCTGAGCATTAGTGGCAAATTTGAATGTGTTTCTCCAACCACACAAGCATGGGCAGCAGAGGGTGAAGGCCCCCTTCTTCAAGATGTCTGAGCATAACCTCTGTCCAAGTAATTGCCTGATTATTATAAAATGCAGAAATAAGAAATACCCTTAGGGAATCAGACTAAAAAGCAAGTAAAATACTAACTATAGACACTACCCGGTGATATTAGTGGCTGAATGTCATGGAGAAGACTAATGCTGCAATTAAAGTCCAAATAAGTTACTAGAATTAAAAATAAAAATAGCTTCTTAAAAAACAAAGCATCACTCAGAATCACTATAACACTCAGTTTTCAAACAGAAATAACAGGACATGCAAAAAATTAGGGAAGTGTGGCTAAAAAACAAACAAAATAAAACAAAAGCAGTCAATAGATTCTGACAATCCTTGAGAACATCTGTTATAGTTATGTTCAAGTAATTAAAAGAAACTATGTTTGAAGACTTAAATAAAATTATGTTTACAAGAGTCAATGAATAAAAATATATCAAGAAATCAAAAACTTTAAAAAGTATCATATGGAATTTTTAGAGCTGAAAACTACCAACACTGAATTGAAAATTCATGAGATAGGCTCAACAGCAAATCTGAGATAGTAAAAGAAAGAAACTGTAAATTTGAAAATAGAGCAGTATACTTATACATTCCAAAGAATAGAGAGCTAAAAGAGCAAAGGAAATGAATAGAGACTCAGAGACTTGTCAAATATTGTAAGCTATTGAAACTAATGTACTAGAAGCCCCAAAGGGGGAGGAAAGAGAAAAAAGCACGGGAAAAAAATATTTGAAGAAAAAATAGTTGAAAATTCCCTTATGTTAGTGAATATCATTCACGTAAACATTAAAGAAACTGCAAGAACCCAAAATAAGATAAACACGAAGACATCATAGTCAAAATGCTAAAAACCAAAGAAAGGAGGGAAAGGGGTCACATTCATGTCAACAACCATATGATTGACGACTGACTTCTCATCCAACACAACAGGGACTGGCAGGTGGTAAGTGATGTATTTAAAGGGATGAAACAACAACAAAAATTATCAGGTGCAAATTTGCTATCCAGTACATGGATCCTTCAAAATGAATAGTTTACAGACAAACAAAACTCAGAGTATTTGTTTCTATCAGACATTCTACAAGAAAAACTAAAATCTTTCCAGAGAGAAAACCAATGAAACCAAAGATGATATTGACAAATCTTCACCAATCAAGGAAGAGAAGATTCTCTTTTCCTCACAGAATTCCCAAAAGGTTCAGGAATTAGAAGTTAAGGTCATGGGGTGCTGGAAACTCTTGTGGTAAAAAATGTTACCAGATAGTAACCCATTTCACAGACAGGAAAGAACAGCAGTGAGAATAGCAAGCACACAGGCAAATTAAAAATATGTAACACAACAGCAAAACTATAAAGCGCAGGGATATATTATCTCTTTTTCTCTTCTTAAAAAATTCATGTGAATATTTAAAGCAGAAATTATAACGCAGTGTTGTAGGTTTGTTATCCATATAAATACAACATCCATAACAGTAATAACACAGAGGAAGATAAGGAATAGAACTATAATAGGACAGAGCTTTATTTTTCACCAAATATAAATCAGTATTAATTTTAAAGCAGATTTGTTATAAACTGAAGATGCATAATATAATCTCTGGAGCAAACACTGAGGAAAAGAAAATTCAAAGCAATGTTGTTTTAAAAATAAAGGGCTGTGGATGTGGCTTGGTGGTGGAGTACTTGCTTCAGTGGGTGAAGGTCCTGGGTTTGGCCCCCAGCACTCCAAAGTAAATAACTACATAAACAGAAAAATTTAAATGGTATATCACAAATATTTTTTAATGTAAAAGTATCCAGTAAAGTAAGACTATTGGGACCATCAAAGAACTTGACAAGTAGAAAAAACATAAAGACTATGTTAATTATAAATAGATTGAATGTGTCACACAAAAGGAAAGTTTTATTAGACTAAAAAAAAAGAGCAAGATTCAACCCTATGATGACTACAAAAGATTTACTTCAATGTCAAAGACTTAACGAGATGGAACAAGGATAGGAAAATACGCGCCGGGTAAATAATAAATGCAATAAACAGGGCACTTACATTAATATCAAAGTAGTCTACCATAAGAAATAGCATTGGGAAAAAGAGGGTGGTTTCATGATAACAAAAGGGCACATGCAGCCAGAGACGCCAGAATTATTTGTATGTTCCTCTTTTTAAAGCCCTCATACATGTGGAGCAAAGACGGGCAGAATTAGAAGGCAATGCACATCGTG